CGACATGGGGTTAGGACTAGTTTTTAAGCTTAAAAGTAATGGAAGAAATCACAAAGGAGAAAGGAACCACAGACTCAATTATATAAAAATATCAAACTGGAGAAATATTTGCAACAAACGTGATAGACAAAAGACAGGGCCAAGGGCAGGTTCTCACACGGTTGGTGGGAGTGTAAATTGGTACAATCTTCTCTGGAGATCAGTGTGATAATAAGTATCAAGAGCTTGAAAGTTCCTGTCCTTTGCCTCAACAATTTCTCTTCCAGGAGTCTAGCCTTTGAAAATTACCAGGAATTTGGACAAATGTTATGTTCCAAGCTGTTTACCTCAGCTTTATTGAAAATGCCCCAAACTGGAAACAATGTAAATGGCTCATGGAGAGACACGACCTTGTGCTAGGGAGTCAATTAGCAGTCATTGCTGTAGATCTTGGTGGGGGGCTTGGCGCCTCATCTTCCTCCCTTGGAGCAGCCGGTGGATTTGAACTGCTGACCTTTCAAATAACAGTCGGATGCTTACTTGGCAGTGCTACTGGGGCTTCTCCTCTTGGCAGGAGAAGAGTTAAATTATGTTTCTAAGTATATTATTTCACTACTATAAGCAAACATATATATACATTTAAATCATAGGGTTGCTGTAATTAGCAGTGACATTTCCATTAAATTTCAGGTTTGCCTTGCTACAGTTAAGAAAATCAAAATATTCCTTCTTCTATGTTTCCAGCAAGGTGAATTAAATGCTCACTGCTTACTGGAGAATCGCGGGGGTTACTCGGCCATGTTGGGTCTTTTTCTTACACTGTGCTTATTGTTGTAGGTGCCCTTGACTTGGTTCAGATTCATATTGACCCGACGTACAACTGAATGAACCACGAGCTGATCCCGTGCCATCCTCACAATTGTTCTTGTGTTTGAACCCATTGTGGCAGCAAATTTATCAGTCCATCTTGCCAAAGAGTCTTCCTCTTTTTCGCTGCCCTTTAACTTCACCAAGCATGTTGCACCATCCTAGAAAATGATAATTACCAACAATGATCTCTTTCTCTCTCTCTTACTGCCACCAAGTTGATGCTGACTCATAGAGGCCCTTTAGGACAGGCTAGAACTGCCCCCTGAAGGTTTCTGAGACTGTCACTGTTTATGGGAGTAGAAAGCCTCATCTTTCTCCTGAGACGTGGCTGGTGGTTTCTAACTGCTGACCTTGTGGATCACAGTCACAGCCCAGCATGTAACCACTAAATCCCCCAGGCTCCTAGACAAACAGTAATGCCGAACATTAATAAGTGCTTATAGTGTGCAGGGCACTCTTCTAGTTGCACGACTGTGTCCTTTATTTTTAGCATCAGCCTGATGAAGCAGGGTTTTTAATCCCCATTTTCCAGATGAGAAAGCAGAGGCCCAGAAAGCCCGTGCTGTACCCAGGTCACACACTAGTAAGAGGCAAAGCCCTCAACAGCCCAGGCCTGACAGACACCAAAGCTGAGGGGCTCCTAAGAGAGACAGCCCCCTGTAGAAGTTGGACTATCTACTCAGGAACTTATCCTGCATTGAAATTAAAATACAGAACTAACAAGTGTCTTTGTAAAACATTTTTAGTAGGGTTAACTAGAATCTGATGATGAAGCTGTCAAGATGAGAGCTCAGAAAACCCGGTGGGGGCAGTTCTGTTCTGTCCCGGGGGTTGAAATGAGTGGGAACCAACTTGGAAGTACCTAACAATATCAGCACTGAGTTACAGGGAGCCAGGAGGCTGTGCACCTGATCCTTCATGGCCTGTGCATAGGCATGTTCATGCAGCTGCAATGTCATCACCCCAGCTGCCAAGCCACTCTTATCCCCAAGAAGAGGAGGCTCTCCCCTGCTCCACAAGGGCCCCGGATGATCCCCGGGTTGTCTCTCAGCATTTAGTTTGCAGTCTCGGAGATGTCACCGGGCAAGGGTTAGCAGAGCTCGGCTGTGCTGCACTGAAAGCCAGACCTGGAAGAACCCCAGAGAAACATCCCCGGTCTAATTCACTTCCTGCTTTTGCACGATGATGCTCTAGAGTGCAGAGATCACAACTGAGGCAGCATCTGATGCCTGGCTCGGTAACATACCGCAGGAAGCCATCCTTGCTTATATCATTGATGCCCTGGAAGCAGGAATGGAGACACAAGAATTAGATCGTTTTCCTCCACATATCATAATTCATTTCATTTTTTGAAGACAGGTATGTGTCCTTGCTAAAGAACAAGACATAGCTTGTCTTTAGAAATTGTGTAAGCCAGGGCGTCTTAACCTTGGCACTATTGACATTTTTGACCTCATAATTCTTCTTTGTTGGGTTGTCCTGTGTGTTGAAGTATCTTTTCAGCAGGATTCCTGGCAACTACCCACTAGATGCCAGCAATGCCCGCCCCCCCCCCTCACTCCTCCCCAGTTACGACAACTCAGATTGTCTTCAGACAGGGTCAGATCGCCTCAATGGGAAAGGGCCCTCAGTGGAGAACCACTGAGGTGAACTTAAACCTGGACAAAAGTCTTATGTTCATACTTCCTTTGAAATGAGAAGTTGCTGTCACCTTGAACAGCACTTTATCATATCTGATGTTGCATCTTTTGAGTATTTTCAGCTTTTCACATACAGATCCCATTTGTTGAATTCTTTAGAGCATCAGATCTATAAGTTAACCTCTCTTTCTTTTGTCACAGTATGCGAGCATTGAAAAAAATGGTGACTTTTTCATGTCTCCCAATGACTTTGTCACTCGGTATTTGAACATTTTTGGAGAGAGCCAACCGAATCCAAAGACTGTGGAACTTTTAAGTGGCATGGTGGATCAGACCAAAGATGGGTATGTATTTTTAATTATCTTATGGATTATATATTTTCCCCTCTAAGTCTCTTTAACAATTAAGAAAACATTTGCTACTACTAAATAAATTATTTTAGCAATAATACTCAACATTTACTCTGTTGATCATTCCACAATTGGGGATTCTATATGTGAATTTTCAAGGGGTTAGTTTAAAGAAGCAGTCATAGTTTCACAAAACTATGATAATGTAATAAGGTAGTATGAAATAGTGTGTGCATATATGTGTAAAAATGTATGTGTGTACGTATATATGTACTGATGATGTCTTCAAGGAAGCTGTAAAAATGGTAATTCTAAAGCATATTTTTCTGAACTTAAATTTTAAGAAATCTCTCTGCTCTAATAACCACTAGAATTTCGTGCTATGAAATGGTATGGATGTAGCGGATGAAATAATGTAATGATCCCAAATTTCCAAGAAAGGTACTCAGCAAAAACTGGAGAAGAGAGACTATGCCATGCAGAATAAAATAGGATACTTTTCAAAATGCCTTGGGATTTTTTCTCCTCTGCTATCAGCCTCCACTAGTTACCTTTAAAGTTGTAACTAGTAAAACATTGCACTTAGCTTTTACCAGTAAGTACAGCATTCCAGTAAGTATAGAATTTGGGGTTCTCAGCTCTTGTTAATATGGACATTGAGGTCCAGAACAAGCTAAGCTAGCCTTCCGGGTATGTTCTGTAATCGACTGTACTTCCTTCTGCCCTTCTGCCTGCCAGCACTTAACTAATTGTGGCCGCATACCCATTTTGCAGGGGCGTTTTGTAGCTCCTGACAACCTCTGCTTTGTGGACTCGTTGTCTGTCTGATTTCCCATGCAGTCGTTTGGACATAACCACAGGACAATGTCCTCCTTCCCAGCAAATGCTCTCAGTGCGCATGCTCTCAGCACTTTCTTTTCTTCTGCCTGCACCCGTCATCCCTTCTTACAGCGAGATGACCTGTAATGGGAAGGACACGAAGATTTGGCGGGGAGGAAGAAATAGGCCAATATTCTTTCTGTAATTTCCCAGAGGATTACTTGATTATGACTTCTCTGTGTTTAACTGACAGGTAGAAAGGTTTTTGCTTTGTTTTTTAATTTTCAGCCTGTTACCTCTGCTTTCTCTCGCACCCCAAGACAGGATTCTCTGCCTGGTAGGAAGTGTCCTGTGTGAGCCATCCTGACTTTCCGTCGTACCTCTGTGGGTTGGTGTGGTTGGAGGCAGGGCATACTACGCAGCAATAGTCTGTTGAAGTAGAAGTGAAAGCTATTCTAGCAAACAATATCCCAAAGGATCATGCTCGCTCTCACACATCCAGTGCTCAGGGTTCAGGGGCATTGTGGCCAAGCTCCCATGAAGCATAAAGCATCCAACTGAATGTTTGAGGTTCCCAGTTTTCCAAGTTCAATAGCTTGAAAGTTTTTTAACTACAGGAAAATTGAAAGAATAATATATTGACCATCTAATTGTACATACCATCCATGTAATCGACTATTTGTTAACATTTTGATACCTTTGTGCTCTCTATAAACACAAATACGTGCACATAAAAGTTATTTTTCTTTTTGATAGCCCATTTAAGTGTCAATGGGCAGACATTATAGTTATTTAATATTTATCATCTTTCTTCTAAGACTAGCAGCACCCCTACATAATTACCACATCACTATTGTACTTAGGAAAATACAATCATGTCACCTATCCAATCTAGTCCAATATTCAAATTTACTGCCTTACTCCTGCCCATACGCCATTCCAAATGGCTCTTTTTTTGTTTGTTTGTTTGCTAAATCTGGGATCCAGTCAACCCAGGCTGCATCTAATTGTTATCTTTCTTTTTTAATTTGGAGCAGCCCCATCATGACATTGTTAAATCCAGGCCAGTCATGTTTTGAAAGGCCCCAAGGTTATAGTTTTTGATCCAGGTTAGGGGACATCTTGTACTACCTGTTGCGTCTCCTCACCATTGATGATGTTATGTCTGATCACTCGATCCAGGTGATCTATTTTCTGATTTTATAATTAAGGAAGATCCCTGGTGGCACAATGGTTGAGAGGCTCCACTGCTAATCAATACGTTGGCGATTGAAACTCTCGAAGGGGCTTTGTACAAGAAAGACCTGGTGACCTGTGCTTGTCCAGGACGCCGTCTCGGACCCCCTGAGGGGGTGCGTCCTTCTGCTTCGTCGTTTCTACTTCGATATATCGGGTTGCAAAATTGCAGCGTGACAATGAGTTTTTTAGACCATGTGGACATCCTGGTTCCCAGTAACCTTTACCCAGTGGTGTTAGCATCCAAGGGGACCCTCTTTTAAGTCCGTTATCATGATAGTGTTTAAAAAGTGCTGATTTTCTAATTCTTTCCTTTCTTCTACATGTATTGGCTTAATAGTCTTTATTTTTTTTTAAAAAGAGCTTTCTCTTCATCTCATATTTTTCTTTCTTCATCATATTTTGGGGGGAGAGGGTGGGAGCAGGAATAGAGGCCAATAAAAACTTATAGACCAATTTTTTAATCAGCTGCTCAAGTTGTCCCAGGGTGGCTAGTTCCTTCACGTTGTTTCTGTTGTCCAGTCTCTGGATGCTCCTCATTATTTTAATACCGTGACCTAGAGACCACCCTTTCTCAAAGAAGCCCTTCTTCCTTTAGTGAGGATGTTACTTAGAAATAAAGAGCTGACCCCTGGGTTGTTGCTGCTGGTGTGGCATAGTGGGTTACGGTCAGCTCCATGGTGAGCTCCATGGTCATCAGTTCAAACTCAACAGCTGCTCTGAGAGAGAAAGATTAGGCTTCTTGTCCCCATAAAGAAAGATGTGCACTCTTGGAAATCCACAGGAGCAGGTCTGCTGTGCTTTCGTGAGTAGTAGCTGTGGTTTGGCATTGATTTGTGGCACTGTCACTCCTGCTCTGCCTTTTCAGTGAAAAGAGCTGAGAATATGACAGCAAATCAAAAGTTCTTAATGATATTTCCTCCTTAACGTTAACAAAGCTTTGTCTTTTAGCTCCTTTGCCTTCTCTTCCATCTCCCTCCCCATTAACACACGATTTCCCTATTGATTTTTGACATATCATTTCCCAACATCATAGCCTTAAATTTATTGGATGCTAACATGCAACATGCATTTTACATCTATACTGTACTAGATTATGCAATTCTATACTGTATACTGTGGCATATTCCCTAAAATAGTTTACATCCAGTCTGAAACATTGGCTTTGTTTCCCCAGAGTTGCAGTTGAAATAACAAAGAACTTCAGAGTTTATGCAAAATTGCCTAAAAAAACAGTGCCTGTTCTCAGACTCCAGCTCAGATCTGTTTTTTCCAGTGTTCTAAGCTGCCCTTTCCCTTTTCGAAGAGGGAAAGAATCAACATCTTCTACTTCCCCATAACGTGGCATTTTCTTTTAGATTCACATTATTTTAGATCTTTGTGTTTTGCTGACGGTGAATATATCAATGGTCTTGGCCCTGTGTAGGAAGATTTAACTGACAACGGTGTTGTAAGAAGTGTAACAGTGCAAAACCACATTGCTCAAGGGAAAGCAACCACCCATACATAGCCTCTTTGTTCACCCTGACACGTTTCTCCCCATATTTTATTACCTTCTCTGACTTGTTAACCTGCATAGATTTTTTATACTTTTAATTACAATACTATTTTGTAACCTTTAAAAATATATCACTCACTTTCATATTTCCACCTCCCATGCAAGTTAACAGTGCCAAGTGGCTATGTCATTTTCCTGTCAAATTCCTATCCAAGTGTGTAGCATACTTGTCTTCGTTTTGTCATGCTGCCGTAACACAAATGCCACAAGTGGGTGGCTTTAAACTCCCAGGGTTGAAAGTCCAAATTGTAGTCCGACCGGGTGGATGCCTTCCTTGTCGGTACCGTGGGCATTTCTTCGTTCCTTGGCTTTGGATGCTCCTTGCATGATGCTTGTCTTCCTCCTGATGCGAGAGTCTGTGTTCAGCCACTCTTTTTGTAACTCAGAAGTGGTAAGATTTAGAATCCACTCTAGTTGAGCATAAAGTAACACCACATCTAGTTAATATAACAATGACTCCCTCCCCTCCTCCTCGGGTGTATGGTTCTGCTGACACCTTGATTTTAGCTTTCTGGACCCCAGCTGTGATTACAATGAATTTCTGTTATTTTAAGCCACCTGATTTGGGGCAACTTGTTACAGTAGCTTTAGGCAACTAATATGCTCACGTAGTTATTTACCTGGGAAATTTTCTGGACCCAGAAGCCAGCCTGGCCCAGGAGAACAACTGTCCCAATGACATCATTTGTCTGGTTCAAGGCATTTCCCAGATTCCCAAGAGAAAAGCTCTGCCTCTAGTTAGGCCAAGACACCTCCTGTAAACTCTCCCGAGGCCCCGGAATTGGGGCGTGAAAGTTGCGTACAACCAGGGCATGGAGTTACAGTTTAAAAAGTACCTTCCACTCAAGACACTGACGTAAGCCTAAGGCATAGAATTACACAGTTCTCTCATGGACATGTTTAGGAAATACCCATATTACTGATGTTTTGTTCGTTAGCATTTTAAAACATAAATATAAAGAAAGAATCAAATCTAACAGCAAGTCGAGAATTTGTTTGATGTACAGATTTTTCATGATTGGCCTGAGCGTCTGGAGGAGTCCTTGCTGGTCCAGATTATAGCTACTATCTGTAAAAGTCCTCGTTTAACTAAAAGCATCTCGGAATTAAGGCCTGGAGATCTGCTTTCAAAAGTCAGAGCCTTGAAGATCCTATATAAATATAGTTCTGCTCTAAAGCACCAGGAGCCCTGGTGGCCTCATGGTTGGATGTCGGCCTGCTAACTGCAAAGTCAGAATTTTGCAAGCACCAACCACTCAAGGGAGAAAGACGATTCTACTCCAAGATAGGTAAGGTGTATTGTGCCAACCTGGCCGATTAATTGAAGGGCAGAGAGAGAAATGGCTCAGTGCATCTCGCCTTTCTGCTTCTCTTGTCCTCT